GGGGCCTCGGGCTTGGAGCGGTGGTCGCTCTCGTCCCCGCCGAGATGAGCGTGCCCTGGGGCCGGGTGTAGGACCGGGAGGGCCTGCGGTCTGCTTCGCTTGCAGGGCAGCTTGGCAGGGCCCTCGTCTTCCTTCTGGGGAGACATTTCCTGGGGGGTTAGCGTGCAGGGTAGGCGGGGGCAAGGGTTTGACGGTTGGAGGAGACTCGGGATTGCCCAGAGCTCAACAACAGGGGCGTGAATGGTGCTTTACTGAGCTCCCGCATCAAGCTGCGGCAAGTGATGAATGGGAGGAATCCCTTCCTCCGGGATTCCTCCTCAGCACCCACGTCAGGGCTGCTGTGTGGTACGTAAATGTGAACATCCATCTGTGCTTCTGACCTCTGGGTTTTCCTCTCCTACATTATTCCATCTGTGGTTTCTGAAACTGGTATTGAACCATCTGCAGGGCAGTCTCCAGGGGCTCTTCCACCCTTGACAGCAGTGATTTCTAACTGGGTCTTGGGTCACACCTAGGAAAGTGGGTAATTGGTACGCTCTGGGATTGCTCCAATCTGTGAGCCTGCGTACTGCATCACAGGCTTCTTGGGAAAATATCAGGTGTTTCTTCTGCTGAAGTGATGCTTCTTCCTTTCTGGCAGTCTTGTGTTCATTCCTGACTTGACATTCTGCTAAGAAAAAATAGGCCTTGTGTCTCGGTATTTTTAAACAGTTTTCAGCAACTAATACAATGCAACTGTTTGTGATTTTTAAAAAAAATAATAATACCCAAGAGGGTATCCGAAAACTTGCAAATTTTTTAACACCTAGATCTAAAAAAGTAAAGTTTATACAATCCTATTGTGTGTGGATACAAGTGTGTATACCTACTGGAACTTTTGCTCTGTACGTCAGTCAAATTTGATAAAAAGATCAAAGATATTAGGCTTATTGGAATATAAAAAAAAAAAAAGGAAGAAAAAGATGGCTGGTTCAAGATCCTACTACTATTGGATTTCTTTTTCACCTGTTTCTTTCTTGAGGGAAAGATTGCAGCCTGCCCTCAACCGCTACAGTGTGTCAGGGAATCCACATGGAGAAAATGTGATGGGAGGAACTTCACGCCAGAGAATTTGGTGATGGGTCATGCTACGTTAGGAAATCTGGATTTATTAGTTTAGTTCATGAAAGTACTTTTTATAGCATGCATTTTTCTCTATTCATGACAGTCAGTATTGATTCTGGCTTCTACTTTTTGAAAACTTGAGTTGGCAATTAATTAACATTGCTCAAATGTAGAGAGGTCTTCAGGGAAATGGTTAGAGACTTTGGTGCCTAATCCATTACACTTGCTTTTTCATTTCCATTCTCCTCACCTTGCCAGTTAGCATTTTCTGTTTTTTGCCTAGCCATTCCCTCTCAGTTTGCTTGGTTCTGTCTCATCATTCCCAGTTTCTCTAGTTCTCATTCCCCTTCTTTACAGGCCTTTAATTTGCTATGCTTGCCATGTTTCTCTGTTCTCACAGATTCCTAGTGCCAGTCCTTACCATCTTTCTTTCCTGCATGTTCCTCATTCAGAGTAATTATTCCATGAAGTTTCTTTCTTTGAATTTCCTCTGAGGATTCTTGTTCCAGCTTTTTGACACTACCGTTTCAGAAGACTTCCAGTCTTACTTGTCCTCCATTTAGATTGACTGCCTTCTTCCTCCATGCTGCACCTGGCATGGGCAACAACTTGGAAGCAGGTGGATTGTTTTGGCAAAAGTAGGTGTAGCTGAAAATGGTATCTTCAGGCAGTCTCAGAAACAAGAAGTTCTAGGAACCAAGGCCAGGAGAAACAAACATTTTAGCACTGAGGAATTTATTTCACATTTTTAAAAGGAGTTGTCGTGTGTTTCTGCAGAAATGGGAAAAAAACAGTCAAGGGGAGGAAGAGATAAGAATAAAACTGGGCTAAAACATACTTGAGACTCCCTTGATGGTACTGCTGATGTGCTGCTTAATGCTCCTGTTGTATTCACAGGGTGGGTCAGGTGATTTTGGCATAGAATGATGATGTTAAAGCTTGGAATTAAATTTTACTCCACGCTTCACACTAGCATTATGCATGTATCAAAAAGGATTATGTATATGATAAAAATTCCCTTTATTTCACTTAAAAATCTGTTCTCTTTCTCCAAAAGCTTTCCTCGGTTTACGATGTTAAAGGATGGTGCCTCTACTTACTTTCTTTAGTCATTTCTGTATTATTTATAATGTGAGGTTCTTAATGATGTTATGATATTAGTGTGAACGTTTGCTTGTGTAATGGTGTCCTGACTTCCACTGTAGGATAAGTGCAGTCATATTTAGAAGTAAATGTCCATTTCCAGTGTTGTGTTTTACTGTGACAGCTGCCATAGAATGAGTGACAGTTCAGCTGCCAGCCTTGCTTTCTGTCCACCCACTTGCAGTATCTGGAAGATCTTCAAATTGAATTAGTACACAGGCTTCTCAACCAAAAGCTGTGAAAATGACCTGGGAAATCAACAGCATTTTTGTTCCCTCAGAATGTCAGGCATTCGAAGAAGTAATCTAAACTTAGATTGTTTACTTTTTCCACTCTCATCTTTCTAATGCTGCTCTGTATTGCTTTTTCTTTATTTTAATATATTAATATCACTGGCTTTTTTCTTTAAAGAACTCTTTTTTTTTTCCCGCACTATCATAAAAAGCAGATATTTCAGGTATGTGTTAGGTACAATAAAAATGCTTTTCATCATCTCTTTTCTTGTTCAGATTGGGTTTTTGTGTTTGTATAATACAGGTATTTAGTTTCAGGATAACAAAAATTGAGTCAGCAGTTTTGATAGTGGGCCTTTCTGTAAGGCATGAGCTGTACAGCAATTCTGCCTGCTCTGTATGGGTTATAAACAAACCTTAATGCCATGGATAGATTTGAACTGAGTATGAATAGTATATAGAGGAATGACTTGCCCAGATTTCATGTGAGCTGTCAGATTGCTGTTAGTTTATAGTCACTACATTCTTAACTCATTATTTCTGCACAGACCAGTTTCATTAGGGGTTATAAATTTCAGCCAAGTTCTGTACGTGCACAGATTGTTTGCTGGAGTACGGTTGTCCTTTTAAATTGCACTGGGCACATCTGACAGTTATAAAATGCTCATTGAATTAGCACAGATCTCAGTTCTAAGACAATTGCTCTGGGGATAACAACTGTACCACTTGAGTGTAATTTTGTTAGGTAAATGTTATCAGGAGGAATTGGGAATTTTGTTCTGAAAATATTTTGTAAAAGAAGTACAAAGTGATGTGCCCACAATCACATGAGAAGTCTATAGCTGAGTACGATGCTGAACCCAAGATCTGCCAAACTGTATCTTAGGCCATTCTTCCTGTTAGGATTTTACATGAGTATATTCCAGAGATTCTATCAGCTATGTGGGTATAAAAATGGATTTTTATTACCCTCTTTAACTATTAACTCCTGTATTTTCAGTGCTCATTTTTTGTTTTTAAACTGTAACTAACAACTTCATCAAAGTGTGGGGGTTTTTTGTAGGATGATGTTCTACATTGTTCTGTCCTTGAACTGTTCAGGTCACTTATTTTTCACTGATGTGGTGCTGTAAAGACACATTTGAGACCTATTTCTCGTAGTTTTTCTTGTAGCACCCTTAGGTGCTAAAGTACTCAAAATAAACTATTGAATAATTTTTGCCTAATAAGTAGCTTTTCAAGTGCAAACACAATCAAATGTTAAACCTTTATCTGGTTTGTGAACGAGATGCTTACAGTTTGAGTCAGTTGTGGGATTTAGAGGAAACACCAGAGATATGCCCATCTTCTCCTGATAACTTTTTAATTATCTTTTTCAGCACTCCAGGCTGTAGTTCTTGATGGTCTGTGAGAGCCGTAACAGCACAGACAGAAGGTTCTGTATTTTGCAGTGTTCAAAGAATAAAGTGGTGATGAGGTACTCTTTCTAGGCTCATCTGTTTAGCTTTGCTCCAATTTGCTGTTCTTGTCAGCAAAATAAACATAATAAAGACATCGGCTATCATGTTTCATTCCTTAATGTCCTTGGTTCTTGTGGAGGCTGGTTATTTATGGCACTCAGCTGAGAATAGTAGGAAGAACATCTTTATATTGTATTAGCTCTGAAAGCATAGATCATGATTTTTCTCTTGTTAAAGCTGGTTCATTCCCTGTTAATCACGTTGGCATCTCACAGTTGCAAGAACACAATTTTACAGTTCTCTTTTAAACTGTTGAAATTCAGGGAGACATTTTTTCCATAAAACAGATGAAATGGTGATCTCATTCTTTCTCATCTCTGGGCCAGACTATGTCTTAGGAGAAAATGCACTGCTTCTCAAAAGACTTGCTATTTCATGTGAAACATATACAGCAATGTCTTTTTATCATATACCTGCATGCTGCTATGCCTGGCACGTGTGCATGCTGTTGAGTTACACCTGCCCTATGCATGCAAAGCTGCCTCAGTGTCTTTTAGGTGGGAACAGCGTTCTCAGTCAGTGCAGGAAAGCAAACCAAACATGTCTCCTACAACCTGGTAGGGGGTGATGATGTTCTCTACAAGGAGCATGGTACGTTATGATTTTCAGCCTTTCCAGAAGGTGCTACTGTGACATTGTATAAAATCACAGCTTTAACAAGATAAACAGGGAAACTATTCACAAGTTTGTTAATTTTACATTTGAGGTTGTTTCATAATGATTCTTGGGTATGGATGCTGAAGTTGGTGAAGCCTGTATTTCATCCCATTTCCAAATTACTTATTGCTTTGCTGCATGTTCTTATTCAAGAAAGTCTATGTTCCAGCCCTTCAAACAATGTTTTCCTTTGTAGAAATCCAGCACAGAATTGCTGCAAAAGCAGGGATGATTATACAGAGAGTAGTGCTGAATTCACGCCCTGGTATGTATTTCTCTCCAATAAAGGAGCAATGTGTTTGTTATGGTTGCCTAATGCTCCAAAATGCTGACTTAGAAACAAACACTGGCTTAAGGTACTGACATTTATATATCTTAATATTGCATGGAGCAATAAATAAAGTTTGTTGTGAAGTGGATTTCTTTAGTCTGTATATACAGATTTCTAAACTTTTTTTTTTGGAAAAAAAGGGTTAATGCATAATACATGAGAAAATCTTAAGTCTAGGGACTCAAAAGCGAATAAAGATTAGCAAGCAATTGCTTTTTTAGTTCTGACATTAGTCATCTCTTAAAATGCAAAGAGAACAAAAAGTATTTTATTGCTGTTCATTTTTGTTTCCTTTTAGTAAACACTGAATCTTTTATTCCTCCTGTGTTTCAGAGTGTTTGTTTTTTAAATTTACACTGTTGAGGATTTGTTTACTTCCTTGCTTCCATGCACATTCTCCTTGTCACCAATGTCAGCACAATATTTTGAATAGTGAGTTTATAAATTGTCTGTTGTAGAAGACCCACATGTGTGTATTAAGTTTTTTGGGGTGTATTGTGTGCTGCTTAATGCCAGAATAGTCCTAACAGGTAAGAAGTGTTGCATGACCTGCAAATAAGTCTTTCCTAATGCAAATCAAATGTTACAGCAGTAGCCTGCTGTAGTCCCCCAGTCAGTCTGACTTAAAACATCCATGGGTATTTTCCAGTTGTCCATTTGATTGGTCTGCTCCATGTGGTACCAACCTGGGGGCAAAGCCTCCAGCTCTGGGGCTCTGGGCAGACCTTTCGTAGGTGATTTTGGGAAGCTTTAATTTAAGGAGGTCTGTCTGTAGCTGTGAAGGGGTGATCTTGCAGCATGTGTATGTGCAGTGATAATTACCTGTATTCCCCCTATCTCAGTCAAAAGAGACTAAAAGGTGAGAGTTTAAAACCTGGTTAAAATTTATGGTCATCTCCTACTGGCAAAATAGTGCATGATGTTTTTGTTATGTGAGAGAAATCTCAGTGCATGTCATTGTTTTGAAAGTTAGGAACTTTTCAGCACACACTCATGTTTTGAGAATGGGAACAACCCTTTTTTTTTTTTTTTTAAATTTTCCCTAGTTGTTCATAAAAAATACATGTAGCAAACAGCATGGGAATTGCCAGTCAGTGCAAGTGCCTGGTACTGGCCCAGGTAAGCGTAAGCTGATAGAGCAGGTAATTGTAGTCTGTGACACAAAGCCTGACAGTTGGTCAGTAGTTTTATACCTAAGTAAAAATATACCTTGACTTTGACTACTTTTTAAAAAAGGCTTTCCCATAATAATTAATGGAAGCTCTATTTTGGTTAATTTATTTGTTTGATTTTAAAATGATTCTAGGTAAGAATGGAGTGCCAGTGGCTGAAAATTTCCGACTGGAACAAAGTGCAATAGCAGATACAATCCAAGCAGGACAAGTGCGTGTCAGAACCCTTTATCTCTCTGTGGACCCTTACATGGTAGGTGGTGGACTTAGAGCTAAGCCAGCATTTTTTTAAAAAAAAAATCTTCAACTCTGTATCTGTTGTGATGTTTAACACCGAAGCTACCAATTATAGGACAAATGTATCTCTAGTATAGCTTAGTAATCCTCTTCATTTTGATGAATTGTATCTGGAAGGAATTTGGCATTAATGTGCCTGTGATATATATAGGAATATGACTTTATAGGACCAGAAGAGACTGAGCCCTGCTATACCATTACAGATTTGTTTGTATTAGCTTTTTCTGAACTTTGCCTTTTTAATATACATTTTACACCTTTTTTTGGCCATGGAAGAAAGTGTTTTTCAATTGATGGGAGCGTGGATAGAGGAAGAATATTTCATGATAAAGCGAGATAGGGATGTGATCAGGAAAGAAAAAAATCTAGACAAAACATGTAAATGATTCAAATTAAGTTTTGTTTACAAATGAAAGTTAGGTTTTCTCCTTAAGTGGGTGATGGCAGGAAAAAAATGTGTCAATACTTTGTAAACAATGCAAACAGAGAGTGTGAATGAAATGATAACCAGCACTTGCACCTAATTTTGCAAAACTGTAGAAAACCTGTGGTTGGGAAAGTGGTGGGTTGAAATGGAAGTGAAGGTAGGAGGAGAACCAGGCACACCCAGTCAGCTAGTGTGTAAGTTTGCTTTAAAGAGAATTCTGGTCATTTGTTCCCTGCATAGGTGGAGATAGTAGAAAAGAAACAGTCTTAATTTCATGAAAGTAGGTTTAGCTTGGGAATTGATTAAAAGTTTAAGAATCCTGAAAAACTAACTCAGGCTACAGGGGGAGACAGAAATAAAAGACCTCAGATTTCAAGATGTTTCATTAGAGATCTCTGTCAGGGATGGTCTACATAGATTTGACAGTTCTTTAGCGCATGGGCATGGACTAAATGACTTGTGGGTGGTTTTTTCAATCCTGCATTTCTATGATTCATCCCGTTAAGGAATGGCATTTATACAGTTCTCATCAAACCTAAGCCAGTCATCTTCAGTTGCATGGCTGACTTTGAGACAGTGTCTATAAAACATGTTGGCTTTGGTAACACTGCTGGAGGAGATCAGAATGGTTTGTGCTCCTTTTGTACTGAGCAGAGAGGAAAGAGGGATCTAAGAAAAGATGATGAATATTTGGGTCTTATTGAGAGATTTTTGAGTATCCCTTTGTGTTTGAAGTTTCAAACGTGTCTCAGCCCCAGCTTCATTTGAACTCATAAACAAACCGTGTGTTCCACCAGAGCCTCTCATTAAAGCCTTGCCTTTCAGCGCTGTCGAATGAATGAGGATACTGGCTCGGATTACCTCCTGCCCTGGCAGCTGTCTGAAGTTGCTGATGGGGGGGGCATTGGGATTGTGGAGGAGAGCAAGCACGATAACCTTGCTAGAGGAGACTTTGTCATTTCCTTCAGTTGGCCCTGGCAGACAGTGGCAATTCTAGATGGAAGCTTGCTACAAAAGGTAATGGAAATGCAAACCACAGGTTGTCACTATTTCCTTTTCCTAAACCTTTCTTTAAAATAGCAGCTAATGATACAATTTCTTAGTCAAAACCAAACCAATGTTACTGGAGCAACTAGTTCTCGGAAGGTGGATCAACTCACAGGTAGCAAAATCTGTATCAGTTTCTCTCTTAACAAATTAAAATGTAAATGCTTTTGTTGGTTACCAGACATGCCAGTATTATTTCAATTGTTGGATTTTTAATAAATTTCCCTGAAGCTGCTTCTGTTAATTCTGTTAATTATTCTATGAAAGTGTAGTCATAAGACATAAAAGACGTAAGGCATCATTATACATGAGTGTAGTCATAAGACATAAAAGGCTTTAGATATATTTAATTCAATTTACTTCATTAACATATGTTAGTGAAAGCTTTTACTTAAGATTTTACATCCACGGAAGAAAGGGTATTCAATATGAAGTTGAAAATTAGGTTGTAACAGTGCATTACGGATATTGTGTTGATCATCCTTTTGTGACAGAAAATTATTGTAGTTTAAGAATGTGTACTTTCCAGTAAGCTCCTTCCTTAGGACCTTTTGCCACTGATCTGCAGTCTCTATATTTGATAAAATTATGCTATTTTATCTTTTATGCTAACACAGGGATAGTTCACCATTGCTGGAAATTTACCTCCCATCTGCTTTTTAACACTTCTATAATTTAAGTTTTTGTGAGTGACTTTGTTTAAAAACTTTTTCTGAAACTATGGAAATACAATCTTTGTTTCATTTTGTATAAACTCATTGTTAGGGTAGAGCTAGTTTATAGATAGCTTGTCCCTAACGGTTGTAACTTGCCTGGTAAATATCCTGAGTTAGTCTTCTATCCTCAGACAATGAAATAGCAAACAGCAAAACCTCACCTGTGAAAAGAAATGAACAGCACCACGCGTTTCTGTTTTGTAGCTTGTTCCACAACTTGTAAATGGACACCTTTCCTACTTTCTCGGTGCAGCTGGCATCACAGGACTGACGGCCCTGTTAGGTATAAAGGAGAAAGGACATGTGGCTGTGGGTGCAAATCAGACAATGGTGGTGAGCGGAGCAGCTGGTGCCTGTGGCTCTTTGGCTGGCCAGGTAGGTAGGCTTAAGACATACAAGCATATGATGTTATCAAGTTTATCTTCTGAAACACACTGGTTAGTAAATGTACAGATAAAATCATTGTAAACATGAACAGGTATTACTCCACGGGTAGGGCCAGTTTCACAGATTTGGCTCAAACTCTCAGTGAGAAAGATTTTGTGTGAAACTTAAGTTTCATGAAACTGGCATGGGAGAAAAGGGCCCAAGGTGATTACTTGTCACTAAATAAAGTAGATGGTATAAATACATCTATTTACTATATATTTATATAGTAGTCTGCCATTTGAACACAGTCTTTGAGTTGACTGGTGACTTTCATTTTTTTTCTATATTAGAAAATAGTCATTAAAAAAATGTAGTAAACCCTCTGTGTTGTGTCCCATGACATCCTTTGTGTTTTGAGATTTGCAGCCCTTTTATCCTGCTCAGCTTTGCAAAACCTGTTGTGGTGTGTGTGTGTGTGTGTGTGTGTGTGTGAGACACACACCCACCCCACCCCCCATCTATATCCAAGCACAGTAGGTATTAAGCAAGCTTAAGACTTAATAATAAAGAGAAGCTATGAAGAAACAATGCATAAGCAAATCTATGAAGAATATATTTAAATCAATTACTGTCCAGTCTTTTTTTTTGCCTTTTATTAGCTGTGTTACCGTACTTGGCAAATGGTGGTTTTATACTGTATTTGGCTCTCTAGTACTGCCAGTTGTTGGTGACTCCACAGACTAAACCTCCTGCAGCCAGTGAGTTTGGAAAGATGGCAGATTTTTGTTGTATCTGCCCTTTCTCTAGGTGTGAGGAGGGAGTGACAAGAGGGAATTGTGTCACATGAGATGGGAGCATGTGCTAAACTTTGCAGTCTGGGGTTTAGTGGGATGGGGGATAACTGTAACCCCCCCCTAAGGCCCCCTTCCTCCCGTGGTACCCTTATGCAGACCAATGATCTAACTTCTCTTTATTGTTTGGGGTTTATTCTGTTTTTTTTAACTGTGTGCTTGCAGATTGGCCGTTTGGAGGGCTGTTCTAGAGTGGTGGGGATTGCTGGCACAGATGAGAAGTGCTCCATTTTGGTCCAAGAAATGGGATTTGATGCTGCTATCAATTACAAGAAGGGGGATGTGGCAGAGCAGCTACGTAAACTCTGCCCAGGCGGTGTGGATGTTTATTTTGACAATGTTGGTGGAGACATCAGCGATACAGTTATAAGTCAGGTGATTATACCAGCTGTCAGGTTTATTCTAGTCATTCTCCTGTGTCTGTGTGCCCAGTTTTGGATTAAGTCATACTGGAAACCAGCCTGCAATACAGCAGAGCAGGCTTTTCACTGATCTAAGCCAGGTGCTGATCTTGGTCTTGAGGAGAAATCAGATATTTGAGATTGGTGTTTGTCATTTGGACTAGCCTGGCAGTATAGTAATAGAAGCACAATTTCTGCTCCTCATCTCTCACTGATTTGGTTAGGAGATTTGATAATATTCTTAAAACCTTGTCTGTTAGTGTAGTAATCTTATGTTTTGTCAGCTTTGGTTTTCTGGATTCACAAAAGACTAGCTCTGCTGGGCCTCCATAAAGACTCTTGACCAGCCCTCTTCATTGTTAATATGAAACTACTCTGTCTGATGGCAGGGGGGCTTTGGTGGCAAGGCCATCTTTGGGAGCTCTAAATCGCAGCTGTATCCAACAGCTGTTTCAAACTTCTTTGTCCTATTACTCCTCACCTCCTGACAAAAAGGGCAAACAGTAAGATGAGAATTTCTGACATTGCTTGTATTTAATGCCTTTTAAAATTACACATAGGCTGTATAGCATTTAGTTTTCCTCTATTACCCTGCATTTATGTATTTGAATGTTGTCGTAGGTTGAATGGGACTGCCTGCAATTTTCACACTCTTTTCTTGGAAATATGGCTGTAAATAAGGATACCCATGTGAAAATTTTGCAATATAATCTATTGAATCTCTGGAAAATTTAGTTTCTGAGACCAAAGAATGTGTTTTTTCTCACTTTGTTCTGTCCCAAATAGATGAATCGGAACAGCCATATCATCCTGTGTGGACAGATTTCTCAGTATAATAAAGATGTGCCTTATCCTCCTCCACTGCCTCCTGACATAGAAAAAATACGGAAAGAAAGGAATATCACAAGGTACATTTCTCCTCCAGAACTTGTGACCAGGTTCCAAGTAGATTGCTTACATGATGTTGTTGCTCAGAATGTAGTCTGCAGATCTGCAATAGGCATGTGTAATTGGAACAGAATGTTGCCATAATAAAAAAGGAAATTATAATCACAACATCAGTAAATCCTTTCTCTTACATTTGTCTGTATTGGCATGAAAAAATGGGAAGGGATGTTGTTACGCGTTAGCATAGTTGTCTGTTGTTATGCTTTGTTTGTGGTTGCTTGATTGAGTCTTGGAGTCTCTGACACATTCTTCAGTACAAGGGAAGGTGTTGCCATGGTTCTGTTCTCAGATGTTTTGCAGAGTGCCTTCTCCCCACGTGTAGTAGTTCAGGCAGAGACAAAATCAAATATTTTTAAAGTAAGGATGCAGCTGATGCAATCAATGGATTGAAATGACATTTTTAGTATTTGAGGTTTTGGGGTATAATGGGACTGTAGGTGTGACAAATATATACAGGTAAAACATTGATTTTTGTTATGGGAATTGCTGAATATCCTGTCAGGATTCAAGTGGATCTAAGGCAGATCTTAGGAGCAAAGTTTTATGAGATTTTTCATTCATTGCATTGCAGAAATTTAGGGAGACTTTTGATTTCTGTGCAAATGGATTGACCTAATTAAAATTGTTTTCTTGTCCCTGTTGCTGTTGTCTGCACTTCTAAAAATGGATAAAAATAAAGTATACCATGCATAGTAGAAGGCAGTGGAGAATCCAATCACTATGTTGCTACAAGTAATTATAATTTTTGATGATCGTTTCAGTTTCTCTTGATTACTACAGACAGCTCTGCCAGCAGGATATGCAAAATTTTGGGGAGCCTGAAAGTTAATTTATACTTGTCATCTAGCAGCAAGTCCATTAATTATTCTCCCTACTCCATAAAAAAAGGGTAAAAAAATAATAGGAATTTGCTCACATTTTATGGACATTTGGTTGTTCTGGTGATATGATTTTTATTACTCTTCTCTCTGATACTTGAACAGAATTAGGTTACTTGTCTAAGTCTGGTGTTACTGTCAAGCTCCCACTGCAGGGAGCTGTCTCAACAAGCTGGCAAAGCTCTGAGCTATGTTGCATTGTCATCAGTACTCATAACCCTTCAGTTTCAGTAATGCTGTTTCCTGAAAAGATTTATAAAGATTTCAAAATATGCTTCCCAGTGTGTCTTAATTAAAGGCTCATTCTTTTCATTCACAGGGAGAGATTCCTGGTGTTGAACTACATGGACAAACAGGAAGCTAGTGTATTACAACTCTGTCAGTGGATCCAAGAGGGTAAACTGAAGGTAAGGACTTTACATTTAATTGATGGCCTTTGATACTGTCTTCTCAGATCATGGTCTGGCTACAGAAAGTCCAGTTTCTTTGTCCCTGGCTCTCTTACTGTACCTCAGAATTGAACAGATTTTCTTAAGGATGTGTAAGTATAATTGAAAGCTTATGAAGTAGCACTGTTTCAGTAGGTACCTGCTGAGGTTGGTGTAACTGTAGTATGACAGAGTTTTCTGATTACATACCACTAATGTCTGTATTCTTTCTCTCAGCATAAAGTGCTTTTTTACTTAAGGAATCAGGCCTTCAGAAATATGTACTTTCAAACACCTGATTACTTAGTGTCCTGAATGCTTTGGGGGATCTAGTCTGAAGTTTTGTTTCAAGCTCTATAATCATCATTTATTATTTTGTGATGCTTAGATGCTTTATCCATCCTTTCCCTGTGAGGTCTGTCTAAAGTAGTTTTTGATTCTTCTGCTGATCAGTACATTTTCCCGTGGAAAATCCTGAAACATGAAATTTTGTCAGGGAGAGGGATGTTCCAGTTCTGACTGTGGAATTAAATTGCCTATATATTCATGAGAAAGTAGTTACTCCTCTCCTCATGAAAGAATCTGGCCCAAACATCATAGATTTTTGTAGTTTTTGTGGCAGTTTCTAATAAACGTTTATCTTGTTTGAAGAAGGCTAAAAGGACTTGTTTGCATTGGCAGGTCAGAGAGACCATGGTAGAAGGCTTGGAAAATGTTGGTGGTAAGATTTTTATACCATTTTCTGAGAATACTAATCTAATTAAATACAACGATGGTAGAGGTTAACTACCTCCTTTGTTTCATTTGGCAATTCAGATTTTTGTATTTTATCTAAAGCATAATTTTTATGTTATAATAGAGGTTTTTTCACAAGGTATTAAAATGTTCTGTGAAAAAACCACTGAATATAAGTTTTGAGATTCTGTTTGATTTACGGTTCGGGGGGGAATTAACTGTTAAACTGCTACCTTAGCAGGTCAGTCATTCTGATCTTACAGATTTAAAGTGCTGCCCATTTCTTAGAACTTATGTGTAGGTAAATGTTATTTTGGAATCCTTGACCTTATACTTAAAAAAACCCTCAGTATCCTTAGATACTGAGTGCTTGTTATGGGATTTGCTAACAAAAATATAAATTGAAAAGTACACACAAGAAAGGGGAAAACAGTAGAGATTGCTAAACAAAGTAAAAAATAATTTATTTTAAAGGAACAAAAGAGCCTGTATCCTGTTCAAAAAAGTTTGTAACAAAGAAAATATTAAAGTGAAGGGGGTCTTGTGATCCAGTGAGACATAGCCAGAGTGCCAGGTCATTCAAGATGTGCTGTAAGAATGCTTCCCTTTCAAGTAACAAGGAAAAGTATGATTTAGTCCATTCAGTCTTCAGTCCCACAAGATTAGAAACCAGAATTAAGCAATAGCCAAATCTTACAGATTTAAATTTATTCTAGTTGTTGCTACTTACTGGTACACATATGTATCTTGAAGGAATTTGATCAAATACAGCAATCATATTTCATACTTTGTTTACTCAGAGATTTATTATTTTGCTCCAGCTTCCCACATTTACTATACTATATAGAGCATTTATAAACCCTTTCCTTTCACAAAGGTTTGTGAAACGTACAGCATTTGTGGGCTCTCCAGACACATCTTGTATTTCTGTTTGGTATTTGTATGGCACATCACAAAAGCCACAAATGTAATCATTAACTTGTAAAGGGCCAAACACTTGGTTACAAATCAGGTTTTTTAATTGTTGCACAAAACTGCCCTTAGTAGTTTATTACAGACAAGGTTTCTATATCTTTTTCTTAATTTAGCATGTTATTAAGGATGAATATGTTTAGGTCCAAAACATTATCTCTCCTTTTTGGGGAGCTGTCTCATACATTTGTGTCTTATCTTTTTTTTTTTCTTTCTTTTTCAAAGTTACTTGGCACATTTTGCTTGGCACTAACTTACTTCATTATTTCTCTTGAAGCCGCTTTCCAGTCCATGATGAATGGAGGCAATATTGGAAAACAGATCGTCTTAGTTTCTAAGTAAAAGTCATTGCTTCAAGAAAAAGAATTGGATTCTATCTCTAATAGTGAGCAAGATTTTACTTATGCTAATTTCCCTTTTCTTAAAAAAAATATTACATTGTTATGTATGTACTGAAAGCAGAGATTCTGGGATGCTAATAAACTAAATAGAACTGGAGACATGAATGCAATAATTTATAGTAGAAATGAGTTATATATTCTTTGACATGATTTTGACAGTTGCCAGCTAGCACACTTGCAAATATTTCATGGGTATGGTTTGAAAGTTAGAACATCCCAGGAACCATTTCCAATAAGCAGTTTGTATGCAGCCACCTAGTTTTGGTCGTTAGAAGAATTTACTAGTGGAGATGTGCACCATTCCCATGCTAGTTGGTTTCAGTGCCCAGGAACTTCTCTAGGAATTTTTAATTTGGTAGTGGAAATTTGCCCTGACAGTTCAATCAACCTGGCTAATCATGTTAGAATTTAACTGTTCTTGTTTTTACAGATAATTGCAATGAAAAATTCAATTTCTGGAGTTCAAGGTCTCTAATAACAAAGCTATTTCCATTTTTGCCATTTGGAACAATTCTCCACCGATCTGCCTTGTCCATTTCTCTGTATTGCATTATTACATCTCTTATTTTCAGAGCACTTGAAACCTAATTCATTTACAGTTCCATCTGCACGCATCCTGAGACTTTCATCAGAGATAGGTTAGGTGTAGGGTGAACCTTATGTACCCTTCTCAAATCTTTGCATTCCAGACTTAAGTGAAGTTTTCTTCTTAGAATTCCTTTTCTAAAATCTACTGTATCTTATTCTTATGATAATCTCCCCGATTTCACTAGTTTTTCTGGTTTTTACACCTCTCCAGGGTGACAGACAGAATCTCAAAACAGGATGCCTGATGACAGAAGGTAACTTGTGGACAGTGACCTTCTGTTCCCTTAGTAACTTATCTTGGCTCAAAATGTTTGGTCTAACAATGCACTTTTACCATCTCAGTGGGGAGACTTGAACAACAGAGTCACCATTTCCGAGTTTGACTAGCATAACCCCAAGCCATGTGGGACTGATGAAATTAAATGTGTGTCTTCAAAGGCAAGGAACAGAAAAGGGAACAGATAATTATCTTAGACATGAGAATTCCACTGCTATATACATTTAGAGACGTTAACACATTTATTTAGAGAATAGGATTGTTCATGACACATTCTGATTTATAGGTGATTGGGTTTTGGTTTTAATTTGTTTGCCTTTAAGAGAAGTGCTTCCAACAGCAGGGTTATCTGAACTGTCCAGAGAATGGATTATGTAGATCTGCCATGAGTCACTACCTAGGCCTAACTAAATGGAATCCAGGGACTAGGAGAGAAACACCATGCAAGAAATTTGGCATTATAAATCATTTGGCATTATAAATCATTTTGCTTGCTGTGGAAAGAAAGATAAGTATCAAAATTGCCTAATATGGTTGTAAGCAGTATGAAAACAATCCTTTCATTTCCTAGTGCTGGTCCTGAACGAAGGAAGCATGCAGATGCCATAAACGTTGAGGTAGAGAAAGACACCTGCAGTATAGCATTAGATGGTATAAAATCTTCCAGTATGCATTTTTCAACTGCAAAACCAGTGACTGGATCACTTTCAACTAGATTGCAAATCCAGCATCAGCATACCTAACTCAAGCAGCATTGATAAGTGTCACACTGAGAGAAACCAAATTTTTTTTGCAGTAAAATCAGTATGATCAGAGTTTGCAAATTAAGACAAAGCAAAAGGTGAGTGAAATTCTGTAAATTCCTACATGTTGACTGTCTATGGATGGTAACTCAGTTGTGACAGTTAAGCAATGCAGACTTGTAAGGTTGATAATTTATATGTATATTAAAATGAGAGGCAGGAGGAAGTGCAGTGATCCTGGGCATGTCTCTAGACTTGGATTCCTGTCAGGTCAGCTGGATTTAATGAGGTGGGAGCTGATGGGAATACAACCTTTCCAGCTGTTCTGCTGAGTGTGCTGATGTGTCCGTTGTCCCCTTTCCTTTCTTTCTTCCCTCCCACATGTTCCCACATGCATATGCCTAATGGGAATATTCAGATTGAAACAGCATCACCGTCACCCTACACACCCCATATAATGCACTCAGTTTCTGCCAGGCAGCAGATGAGCCTTCGTGCACTTTAATACACTTTATCTTTCTGAATAAACATCCTCATCTTATAGATCGTTCCTAAAGCAAATACCTGAATGCAAAAGGAAACAGCCCACTCCACCTACATGACCAACCAACTCCACATCCCCACAGCAAAGCTGGTCTTAACCTGAGACTCCGTTTGTACTGCTTCTGAAAATCGTTAGTGAGGCAAGAGTATTTTTACAAATGAGACTTACCAGTATTGCTGTTCCTGCTGAGGTGAAATAGTACCTGTTTTCATTAGGAACAGAAAGTCCTCCATTGAATTTGTGGGGTTTTTTTATGTGTCTGTCTAATAGTGCATAAATTTATATGGTGCTTTTTGGGGCATGGTGTAACCATGGTGTTTTCCTGTCTTCTTCCACCTCTGAAGACTAACCTCTTCCCACACACAAGTTTCAGTGTCCTATAACATGCATTTCTCCGTATTTGGCTTCCTCCAGTCTATCAATTTTATTTCAGTTTCAACAGCCTGTTTTGAGAAAAATGACTTTAATTCTTAAAACTGAGGACCATTCTTTTGTTTTATTCCAGCCTGCTTGGAAGGAAGTGTATCATAGGGTAGTATCCAAAGCAAGCTAATGAAATACCTGTATATTTCAAAAGTGGCTTCAGCTATGAACTGTGGTGAGTTTGTGCTGTATGAATGTAAGAAAGCAATTGTAATGATAATCACTGCTGAAAAGGTGTTAAAATGTTTTCCTTTCATATGTTATCGGTAGAGGCCTCTCTGATATATTTGTGTTTCCAGAGTTGCATTTGTTTGTCCAGAGCACATATTCTGTACTTTTGAACACTGTTTGCTGAAGAGCTACTCCAGAGAGAGCTCATCTTTGGCACTGTGAGTTGATACACCTTGCAGGAACGACAGTCCTCTAGGAAGTTATTTTTCACATCTGAAATAAAATGATAAAATTCCCAGCACTATTACAGCAATTGCTTAGTAATCCACACGTCATAAGCCCATTAAGAGTTGATGATGTGAGGCATGATCCAGAGTGAGATCATGCTGAGATACTGATTCTTTACTGTAATAAAGGCAGCTGGATTGCAGCAGCATTCCTGTAGTTAGGTAAGATATGGAGGGCAATATAGGTTCTATCAGCATTAGTCAGATGGCTTTGGGAAAAAAAAAAAAGATGGGGACAGTCAAAGTAAACCTCATCCTGGTACCCCCAATGTTTAGGATTCTCACAGAAGCGCTTCTTAACTTGTGAATCCTGGCTCATGTTACCTCTTAAGAATAAATAAAAATCAGAAAGAAAATGCTTTAAACAAGTGCCCACAGTTGTAAAAAATATTAATACATTTTTTCACCTTGTCTTTAAATTCTTACCGATTGTAATAGCGTGACTTCAGCAATCCTATATTTTGCACTATAGGAGAGGTCTCATTTAAACAAAGGATGACAAATAACTGATAAGAAAAAGCCAGGATGCTTTGGACGTAGTAGATGATCAGTTACTGGCTGCAGAAGCACCAGCGTTTGTCCCATGAAGCTTTACCTTACAAAGATGGTGAGTGATAGTTTATAAGACCTTAAGCAAGGACAAACAGGAATTCAGAGGAGTTGTGTGACCACAGTAAGGTATTAGAAGTTCAGCTATACTTTTTTTATAATCTTTATAAGTAAGCATTTATTGTTGTAAAGGGTAATAAAACTTTTCCTCCCTTAAATTTTTTTCTTTTAGTTGGTCATGTTTCTTGTCCTCCCTGTTGGCTTGATTGATAATCAGAAAAATATGTTCTTTTTCATAGGAGCACCTAGTAGTTTAGTGTCAGGATTTCATGGAAGATGTCAGCAATACTGTGAAAGGAGCTTGCCAGCCCAGACATAAATGCTTCTTACTGCAGTTTGTAGTAGCTCTTGTTACAAAAGTGAAGAGAGTGAAGGCAGATGCCTTTCAAATAGCTTCATCTCTTTATTCTATATTTTAATGCATTGATTGTGGAAGAAGCAGATGCCAGGATTACTTAATCCTTTTGTTCGTAGCATTGCTCTCTGTTGCTACACTGCCTTTCCCTTTACTGGGTTCTCTTCACAGTGGGAAATGTTTATACAATCCATAAATAGACTGCCAGGGGATAAAAGATGACAGGCAGATGGCATTATCCTGCAATAAGAAAGGGTAACAGCAGCTGGAATAAGCTCCAAACTGAGAAAATATTTTGAGATACAACTGGGAACTCTTTAGCAAAAGCACAGAAAGAAGCACAAATCTGTCAAGCCCTTTTAGACACAGGAACATGGAATTCTGCAACTGGAAAGATACTTTGGATAGCAAAAATCGGCTTTGCTACAGCACTCTACTCTGGGCAGAGTGGTGGTGGAAGGATGGCTGAACAGGACAGCAGTTTTGAGAGAAAACTGAAAGCATGAAGTATCAAAGCAATGTTTAGGCAAGAATAGGGAGATGCAATTTATAGCAGACAGTCCAAGGGCACATGGTGAGAGAAGGCAGTAAGGTTTTATGGAGCTCCATCCTCAGCTCCACCCTCTTGTCTTGGATGGGCTTCTCCAAATCTGAGACCTTCCCTCAGTCCCTACTCCTCTGCAAGAAGGAGCCATCCTCGCCCCCTCCCCCGCTTTCTTTCCTCTGCCTCCCAGGCCGGGAATATGGGAGGGGAAAGTAAAGGGCCAAGGACCAGGCTCTGATGGGGTGAAGTCTGGACAGGAGCCAGCACAGCTGGACTTTCTCCTGGTTCTGGGCGTGACTTGGAGGGGGCAGGACACCATCGACTAGTGCTTTTCCTGCAGGGAGGGAGCTGTCTTTATGTCCTACTCCCCCAGAGCAATAGTTGCATTTCCCTTGTGCAATAGCAATCCCATTAGAAAGCTGCACGGGCAGCAGTGAGCATTTCAGACTGGAACAGCCTGTTCCCTGTCCTGGAGCCAGGCAGCCTGAGGGAGCCTTGGGTGCCCTGCAGGCAGCTGTCTCCCCTCTGCCTCAGCCAGCTCCAGGAACCGGTGCTTTCTCTCTTGAGCTTTTAGAACTGGTTTGGGGTTGGTGGTTTTTTTAAAGTATGCTGCAGAGATAGTGGGAAAAGCACTTGGAAAAACCCTCTCTCTCTCTTCCCCCCCCCCCCCCCCCC